TCAAAGCCAGCTGGGAAAGAAAAGTTCATGAGTTATGTATTTATAATTCCTGAGGCTTGAACTCAGGGCTTGGGTGCTGTCCCAGAGCTTCTTTTTGCTCAGACTAACACTCTACCATAGCATTGCTTCTGGTTTTCTAGGGGTTAACTGGAGATCAGTCTCACATGCTTTCCTGCTCAGGCTGGCTTTGAAAAGTGATCCTCCAAACTTGGCTTCCTGAGGCTCTTAGGTCCAATTGACTACCAAAAATCTTGAAGCAGAGCTGTGGCTGAAGTGGTAGAATGCCAGCCTTGAGCACATGAAAGCTCGAGGAGAGCATGAGGCCCTGAGTTCAAGCCCCAGAACTGGTACCAAAAACAAAACAAAACAAAACAGGATATTGGTGAAGTGATGGAAGAATGGTCAGAGCTGGGGTGTTGCTGGCTGGAAAGGTGAGGAAGAGCTCATGAGCTGGAGATGTGAGTGAAGTAGATTGTGCAGGCATCTCAATTTTAGCCCAATGAGACCCACGAAGGGCAAAACTCCAACAAATATGCTCTGTTTTAGGTTTGAGACATTAAAGTCAATCCACGATGTTCAAAAAGGAAGGGAGGCAGCTGGGTGCCGGTGGCTCACGCCTGTCATCCTAGCTACTCAGGAAGCAGAGATCTGAGGATCCTGGTTCAAAGCCAGTGCAGGCAGGAAAGTTTGTGAGACTCTTATCTCCAATTAACCATCAGAAAACTGGAAGTGGTGCTGTGGCTCAAGTGGTAGAGCGCTCGCCTTGCGCTGAAGAGCTGAGGGACAGCACCCAGGCTGAGTTCAAGGCCCACAACCGACAAAATAAAAAAAAAAAAAGGGAGGCAAGCAAAAAAAGAAAGAAAAATAATGACATTAAGGTTGTGGTAATTTGTTATGACAGCAACAGGAAATGAATCCATTCCCCACTGAAACTTCCTCCAACTAATTTTACTTTTGCCCCAGATACCATGTGCTCTCCCTCTGCTGTTCCCCAACATCCTCAGCCTCTTGGGTCTCCTGAGCTGCAATAATGCCTGTGTCTACCATAGTGATGACCCTCCCCCAAAAGAATATAAAATGTGAAGTTAGAAACTCAAAATTATTGATTATTAAGAACAGGGTGAAGCTTGAAAGGCAGGATCTCCCTGTAGAAAAAAAAAAACAATTCCAGGCTAGCCATTAAAAGGAAAAATCCCAGGGGCTGGGAAGGTGGCTCAGTGGTAGAGCGCTTGCCTTGCATGCATGAGGCCCTGGGTTCCATTCCTCAGTACCACATAAGCAAAAAGAAAAAAGTCAGAAGTGGTGCTGTGGTTCAAGTGGTAGCCTTGAGCTGAAGGGCTGAGGGACAGCGCCCAGGCCCAGAGTTCAGGCCCCACAACCGGACCCCTCCCCCCAAAAAAGGAAAAATCCCAAAGATAAAGGCTTGAAGTAAATTAGTGAGTTAAATACCGGGTTATTGGAATTCGGTCAATAACAGTGAAACTCGGAAAGAGTCAGAAAACCTGGAAGGTGGTTTGATTTGGGGTGTGATAATTAAGAAGTTTGAGATTGCTTTGCTTATTGAGAGTGTAATTGCTATTTCACTAACTTGCTTCTTTGCTGGGAAGATTTGGGATAAGAACTCTGCCTTGATGACTTATTGCCTTGGTTATTGGAATGACTGGACTTGTAACTGTCATCTGTAATCATTAACTGCTAGCCCTGCATCTGTACCTTGCTTGTCAACTATGAAACTACCACTGAACACTTGCAAGTGCCTTCCCCCCCCCCCATCCATGGATCTTGCCTTTACATACCCTGAGCTAGTTGACTTTACTGCTGTTCTTCACTGTCTTGGTATAGTGAGGGGCAGTCGCTGGACCTAATAAAGATTCCTAGCTCTACTGACTGATTGCTGGTGACTCCTTTTGCTGATCGTGGGCTGGAGTCCCACTGGCCCCAGGAAGTTGAGATACTTTACCATCCCCTCATTTGTGCCCACCTCCTGTTACCCTCTGCCCACACACTCAGCAGGCTACCCATGGGCCAGGAGCCCTTGGAAAGCAATGTCTGACTTACTCTTCTCTGGACCCCAAGACTCAAGGTTGATGGAGTGGCACAGGGCACCAGGTTGGGTTTGTGTGTGTGTGTATGGAGAGTTCTTATGTAAGAAGTCACCAGGGAAGAGCAGGTGACAGCACCCATTAGGGAGATTTCTTTCTTGTGGGTTGTGGGACTTGAACTCTGGGCCTGGGCGCTGTCCCTCAGCTCTTCAGCTCAAGGTGAGCGCTCTACCGCTTGAGCCACAGTGCCACTTCTGGTTTTCTGGTGGTTTATTGGAGATAAGAGTCTCATGAACTTTCCTGCCCGGGCTGGCTTTGAACCAAGATCCTCAGATCTCTGCTTCTTGAACAGCTAGGATTACAGGCATGAGCTACCAGTGCCCAGCTCATTAGGGAGATTTCTAAGATTCAGGTAAGTCCAAGTACTGATACCTAGGCTGTACCCCCAGCAAAGGATCCAGCATGTAGGACGCAAAAATTCAGCCATGTGCAGGGTACTGGCTGCCCACTCTGGCCAGGCTAGGAATTCCATTGTCACAAAGGGGAAGAGCCAAGAAGCGAAGGAGGCCTGGGAACACTGACAGGACACACACTGAATCAGAAAAACCCAAGGCTTTCTAGAGTAGGAAGTGTATCTTTTTTTGTTTCTTCTCTTGTGGCAGTACTGGGATTTGGATTCAGGGTTTTGCACTCAAGTTTGCTTGCTTGGCTGACACTTGATTTTTTTTCTTTTATTTTTGGGTCTGGTCGTGGGGGGCCTGAACTCTGGGCCTGGGCGCTGTCCCTCAGCTCTTCAGCTCAAGGCTAGCACTCTACCACTTGAGCCACAGCGCCACTTCTGGCGTTTTTTCTTTTTGCTTATGTGGTGCTGAGGAATCGAACCCAGGGCTTCATGCATGCAAGCAAGCACCCTACCACTGAGCCACTTTCCCAGCCCCACACTTGACCATTTGAGTCATGGCCTCTGCCATTTTTTTGTGTGTGCACAGGTACTGAGGCTTGAAGTCAAACCCTGGGCGCTGTCCCTGAGCTCTGTTGCTTAAGGCAAGTGCTCTACCACTTGAGCAACAGCTCTACTTCCAGCTTTTTGGTGGTTAAATGAAGAGTCTTACGGATTTTCCTGCCCAGGCTGGCTTTGATCCTCAGATCTCAGCCTCCTGATAGCAAGGATTACAAGCATGGGACCAGTGGCACCCAGATCTGTGGTCTTTTTTGAGGAGAGGGGTAGTGGAGTCCACAGCCAAGTGGAGGTACAGAGGCCAGGGCAATCCAGTCATCGCTTCCTGGACTCTGGACTCCGCCCATTCTCATACAAGGTCTTGACCCTTTGGAGGGCTTCCTGACCCAGAGGGCAGCACAGGCAGACAGAGAAGAAAACACCATCTTTAATCAGCCCACCCCCATGGAAACGAGGGGAGCCTGCAAGGTCCCCGTGAGAAGGACACCGGGATCTCTTGCAAAAACCAGCTTACAAAAACAAAAGGCTTCAGAGCACCAGTGGCTAAACCCTTGGAGGAGAAAGAGGCCTGGGGAAGTGAGGTCAGCAGACCAAAAGTGGAGTCACTGCCCAGCCCAGCTCAGGGAAGACTGGAGGAGAGCATCTGTGGTCATCGTAGCTGGCCTCTCTGTGTGTAATCCATGGTCCATGGCCTAGGCTTCCTTCCCAGTCCTCAAGCCTCCGGGCCTCCTTCCTAACCCAGGCCCTTTCACAAACAGGGATACAGGCCTGATCCGCTGTCTGTGACTCACCAGCCAGTGCGCAAGACACAGGGACCTCAGAGTGTCTGTGGAGGGAGGTGGGGAGGCCGGCCCTCCTGGACCATTCCCTCTCAGAACACCTGGGCTTGCTGGGGACACTGGAGGGGTCACAAACACTGGAAGGCCACACACGCCAGCATCCAGGCAGGGACAGTCCTCCTCCTCTGGGACTCACAGTAAGTGAGGGGTGAATGGAACCATCAGGGGTGACTAGGGAGGAAAATGGAATTATGGGAGTAGGAGACCTGGCCCCAGGGACCTGGAAGGGGGGGTGAGTTGTGGGCCTGTCTTCCTGGCTCAGATTGGCCAGGGTTGACAGAGGCTGTGTCTCAAAAGGCTTCCTTGTGGATCAGGCCAAGTTCCAGGCTTTGGGCTGTGTCCATCCGGTCCCCAATAAGGGGACGAACGGGTGTATTGCTTTGAGCGTGGTGGTGGCAGTGTGTGAGCATGGACGTGTCCCGGCTGGAAGAGGGCTTGGAAATGGGATGGAGAGAGCTGGCGCTGGGCGTGGCCGCTGCGTCAGGGAGTGTACCCGGCTCCAGGCCCGCCTCCACCAAAGCCGTGCTGTGTGATCTCCAGCAAGTCTCTTCACGTCTCTGGGTCTTAGTTCCCATATCTACAGAGCGGGAGTTAGAATCCCAGCCTAGCTGAGGGCACAGAGAGTCAAATGAGAAAGCTAACAGAGTCCATCTGCTAAGGGATCACTTTAGTTCCTGGAGGTGGGGAAACTGAGGCCCAGAGAAGGCAAGGGGCTTTGTCAGATGTCACCCAGGGTGGGTTGTGATGGAAGTGTGATTGGAACCCAGGACTCCTGCTCCTAGTTCACAGTATGTTTGCCCAGGGCTGATGAATGAGTGGTGGGATGGGGGTGAGTCTGTCTTGTCTGTCTGTCTTGCTGTTTCTCTCTCTGGACCAGAGAGCAAGATGCTGGGTGAAAGGGAGAGGCTGAAAAAGGGAGGAAGGCCCTGGCCCACGCCAAGATTGAGATTTAAAAAAAAAATACAAACCCCCCCATCCCCCTCCCTGCCCCTGAAGTCCTGCAGTCCCACTGCCCAGGGCCAAGAGCGAGTCCAATCCAAGCGCAAGTCCACTCCTTGGGCTGCAGTCTGCCCGCGCGCCGGCAGGGGGCGCGCCTGCGCATCGCCGCCGGGCTGGCGGCGGCCGCGGGGTACCCCAGCCCGCGCCGCCGGGGTGCTGGGTGCGGGGCCGGAGCTACCCGGACCTGCGGGACACAAGAGGCGGGTTAGGGGGTTCGGATAAGTGCCGTCCGGCTGCACCCCCGCCCCCCGGCCCCACCCAGCCGGGACCCACGTGTACAGAGGCTGCAGTTGTAAATGCGACGTCTTCTGGGGCGCCTGGTATCCGTAGGAGTCAAAGCCACCGATGAAGTCAACTGCGGGGGGGGGGAGGTGAGTTAGGAGAGGGGGGGCTGCGTCCTGAGGGAGCGGGGGATGGGCGCAATGGGGTGGGCTGGGGGGGGATCCCATCCCCAGGACAGGATGGAGGGCTGGCAATGCCCACCCCAGCCATCCACCCTCCCGCCAAGCCCTGTCCGAGGTGCTGACATGCAGGCCGTGTTGGGGGGCAGGGGGGTCCTCACACCCCGAGAGGCTGTACTCACAGCTGTCCTCCTCCTCCAGGAAGACCTTGCTCACGTAGCAGGCGAACACGAAGCCGAAGAGCTGGGTGCAGAGATGACACATCAGTTTTGTTTTGTTTCTCCTTCACAAAACATTGTCTAGCCAAATGGGGTGGGGAGGAGGCTTAACGTTCAACACACTCCAGAGTCAAATATAGCTGGATGCTGGTGGCTCACGTCTGTAACCCTAGGTACTCAGGAGGCTCAGATCTGAGGATCATGATTCTAAGCCAGACCCAGCAGACTTATTTCCAATTAAACACTCAAAAACCATTAGTAGAACTGTGGCTCAAAGTGCAGGGTGCTAGCCTTGAGTGAAAACAGCTCAGGCCCAGCACCCAGGCCCCAAGTTCAAGCCCTATGACTGACAAAAGGAAAACAAAACAGAAAAAGGCTTAGAGAGAAAGTGCCTTACCCAAGGGCCCAGGGGGTGTTCTAGGTATTTAAACTGGATAGACTCATGGCCTGATGTTCATTGTCTTCGTGAACTTCTCTTCCCCACACAGACAAGAGTGGGTGAAGGGAGGTAACATGAGATAAGGAAATAGATCCAGGCAGAGGTACAGACAGCTGGAAGACTTACGGCCAGATCTTTTTTTTAAATTTTTTTTTAAAGGTTGATACTGGGGTTTACACTCAGGGCCTGGGCTCTGTCTCTCAACTTTTGCACTCAAGGCTGCTCCCTTTCCATCTTTTTGGTGATCAGAGATAAGAGTGTCACAGACTTTCCTGCCTAGGCTAGCTTCAAACTGTGACCCTCAGATCTCAGCCTCCTAGGGAGCTAGGATTACAGGTCTGAGCCACTGGTGCTCAGCTCTTACCCTCTTAACTAGGGATAAAGAAAGGGGCTAGGGTAGGTAGTTGGAGAGCAGATCTTACCGCCAGGAAGATCTGCAGAGCACTGCTAAGGGCTTCTATGTAGGGATAGTCAAGCAGGCAGCCAGAGACGGAGATGACGTGGTGGTCCTCCAGGGTAAGGCGGGAGTTCAAAACAGGCGTCACCAGACAGCCGGGCCCATTCTCCATCCACCAGGAGCGGTGCAGGGATGTATTGAAGGTCATGATGAAGTCCCTGTCCTGGGAGCAGAGGGCCTGGGATACTGAGCAAGGCAGGGGAAGGACCAGGAGATCCCTTCCCAGACCCTACTTCACATCTGGACAGGCTGCAGCTGCAGCCTCCCCTCTGGCTTGCTTTGTGAAGGGAACAGAGGAAGACTAAACCTGCATGTTCACATTTGGCCAGCAGGTGGCACTGGGTGGCCGTGTTTCTATCACTGAGATGGAAAGGGGCTGGAGCTGAACACACAAGAGCCTTTGAATTTCACAGAGGGGACAATGAGGGAAGTCTCAATTCTCCAGCCATGGGTGATATTCAGCAGAGACCCCTTCCCAACCAACTTGGTCTCCTCTGTTCTCCTTAGGTGTGAGCCTGGGCACCCCCTCCCTCTGAAGGTCTGTGGTCTCAGGAGAAGTGGATGGTCTAGGTCCTCAGCCTCTCATCCAGAGTGAGCAGCCCAGGAATTGGCATCTGGGCTCTCCTCAGACAGACGGAGATTTGCTAATGGACTGGGGGCATGGTTCACGTGGTAGAGTGTCTGCCTAGCCACAGGAGGCAAGCTGATCAGGTGAAGCACTTGGATGTGTGATAGTTTTGTCTCTGTGGTGACCGCAGGTAGTAGCATTCCTGCCTCCACTGTTTAGAGGAGGAAACTGAAGCTCAGAAGACACGATTTTTATTTTTATTTTTTGGTCTTTTTGCCCAGGTTGACACTGCTGGGAAAAGTTAAGAGCTAGGATTGGAACTGAGCAGGGTCAAATCACAAAGCCAAGGCTCCTGTTCACATATTTGGCCTCCTTTATTTCTAAGAATAGAAGTCCTATCTCTGGGCTTGCTCTTCTTCGAGCCAGACAATCTCCCATTTCAAGAGCTCTTTGTGTGACCTGGGCCACTCAGCTTCCCTTGAACCCACACAAGTCTCTCTCCCAAGGGAGCATTTTCCCCAACTGGCTTCAAACACCCAACTACGATTCACAGGGTCTAAGAGCAGCTTTCCTGGCCAGCACAAGCTGCTGCTTTTTCACTGAGCTTGGGATTCACCGGGCTCCCCAGCTGCCTCTTCACACGGACCACTCCTCATCTGTTCCGTTATTGTTTATGAGAAGGGTAGGGGTTGGAAATAGAAGTGGAGGCCACAGATTATTCGGGTGTATAGAGGGAGGGGGAAATCTCTTAAAAGAGATGATCTTCCAAGAACTAGAGGCTCTTCGGTCAGGATGGGAAAGGTCTGGGTGCACCCTTGGGTGCACCCTAAGGCACAGCCAGGCCTGAGGCTTACCTGGGACAGCTGTCCAACCTCCAGGTAGAAACAGATGATGAACGCATTCCAGCCAACCCAGAGCACCAGCCAGGCTGCGTACTGGGGAAAGCAGAGGGGAGTTCAGGGTGGGGGCTGGGGGTGGGGTGAGGAGGGGATGAGTCAATGGAGATAGAGCTCAAGGGCAGTAGGGCTCAGCAGGGAAAAGAAGGAGGACACCTCAGAGAGCATGTTCAGGGGTACAAGTGCTAGCCACATCCTGTAGGGCAGACATTGATGTCCAGACATCACTAATCTAAGGCCGAGAGATCGAAGCATCAGGAGATCACACAGCTAGGGAGAAGGAAGACTGGCCCTGGAATCCAGGTATTCTTCACTCTGCTGAGAACAACATCCACTGGACTAACTGGCAATCTCTAGTACATACTGGAGTCACTCTGGGAATAGCGGTGGAACCTGGAGTCCCAGCAACTCTAGAGGCTGAGGCAGGAGGATCACTTGAGTATCAGAGGCCGTGGTCAGCCAGGACAGTACTGGGAGACCATGTCTTGTTTAGAAGTAAAGGCAGATTCCTGAATGATACCTCCAAACTGGTGGATTCTTTGTTGTTGTTGGTTGTGGGGCTTGAACTCTGGGCCTGAGCACTGTCCCTCAGCTCTTCAGCTCAAGGCCAGCACTCTATCACTTGAGCCACAGTGCCACTTCTAGTTTTCTGGTGATGGATTAGAGATAAGAGTTTCACAGACTTTCCTGCCCATGCTGGCTTTGAACTGTGATCCTCAGATTCGCCTCCTGAGTAGCTAGGATTACAGGTGTGAGCTACTGGTACCCAGCTGGGATCATTATTATCATTGTTATTATTTTTTGAGACGGTGTCTCACTAAGGCTGACCTCAAACTCAATCCTATGTCAGCCTCCTGAGTACTGGGATTATAGCCACGCCTGCTGGCTCTGCTTTTCCTGGCTGTGTGACCTCAGGAAGGCTGTAGCTCCTCAGCTGGAAAACTCAGATGGAGCAGATGGAGGACCGGTCTCCTCCCAGACTCTCCCTCCCCGAGCTATGGCAACGATGAGACAAGAGCTCCTTTCTGAAAGTCTGAGGCTGTGCCACCACACAAATCTTGTTTATGTTTGTAATATTTCCCTAAGAAATTCTTTTTTGTTTTTGAAAAATGTACTCTTTACTGACTTATGTAATGTGACCCCTCTGTGTACCCCCTTTATAATAACAATAAAGAATATTTTATTTTATCGGTCATGGGGCTTGAACTCTGGGCCTGGGCGCTGTCCCTCAGCTCTTAAGCTCAAGGCAAGCGCTCTACCACTTGAGCCACAGCACCACTTCTGGTTTTCTGGTGGTTTATTGGACATAAGAGTCTCATGGTGAGGGCTGGGAAGGTGGCTCAGTGGTAGAGCGCTTGCCTTGCATGCATGAGGCCCTGGGTTCGATTCCTCAGCACCACATAAGCAAAAAGAAAAAAGCCGGAAATGGCGCTGTGGCTCAAGTGGTACAGCGCTAGCCTTGAGCTGAAGAGCTGAGGGACAGTGCCTAGGCCCAGAGTTCAGGCTCCACGATCGGACCCCCCCAAAAAAAAACTTAAAAAAGGGGGTAGGGGGGAGGCTGGGAAGGGATGTGAAGGGTAAACCAAAGGAGGAGGCTGCAATGCTTCGTAAGAAATGTATGCATTATCCTGACCATGTAATTGTAACCCCTCTGTACAGTATGTTCACAAATAAAATTAAATTAAAAAAAAAAAGAGTCTCATGGTGTTTCCTGAACAGGCTGGCTTTGAACCGTGATCCTCAGATCTCAGCCTCCTGAGTAGCTAGGATTACAGGCGTGAGCCACTGGCACCCGGCAAGAATATTTAAAAATTTTCTCTTTTGAGTTTTTTTTTTTTCCCTCAGGAAAATTCTTTACGGAAAACACCAGCTAGTTCTCTGAAATCGGGCACTGGTGGTCCCAGCTGGGCTGCAGGAGTGGGGAGAAATTCTGTGGGCAGGGCAGGGGTGAAGAGAAAGGCAGCTTGGGATTGGGTAGAAAAGCCATACCAGGATGAGGTACCGGGAGCGGTACTGCACGGTGCCGAAGATGCCCAGGATGACCGCCATGATGTGCAGGAAGTTGGCCAGGATGGGGGCCCACTGGTAGCCCAGGAAGTCAAAGATCTGCCTCTGCAGTGCAGCCACCTGTGGAGAGACCGGCTGAGTCGCCTGCACCTCCCTGACCCTGGGGAGCAGGTGACCCAGTTTCCATGGTGATGACACCCAAGACTCTCAGTACCAAGGGGATGCTGGGAGGTAGAACAAGTCAATGGGCGAGGGTCAGGGGGGCCCCCAAGTTAGACTGGTCATTACTTTGAGGAAAAGCAGGAGCCAAGGTTCAGAATATCTTCCCTCTTGCTCAGGGGACCCTCCTCACAAGCCACTGGAGCGCCTATCCCTTCCCCTCCTTCAGAAGCTGGGAGACTCAGGGTGTAGCCTGACCCCGCCAGCAGGTGAACTCCAGCCAGAATCACTGTTCCAAGGATCCCTGGCTGGAGGCCGTCCTGGTCCATGGGATCTCTGGGCCATAGAGAAAGGATGGTTTTCATTCCCCTTCCCTAGATCAACGCAAAAGGAGTCTCCTGCGCTTCTGCTTCCTGCTTCTGGGCCCAGAGGTGGTACGTTGCACACTAATGTTGTGCTGGATCCATCACCTGCTCTGCTCAAATGGGACTTCGGAAAATGAACACAAGTCGGGTGTGAATGGTGCAGCTGCACTGGAGTTTACCCACTGCTGTCATCCTAACAGAGACCACTGCGTGAAGAGGCCAGAGCTGACCGTCAGACACACATGGAAGAGAACCAACGATTGAGCCAGTCAATCATCAGACATGTGATTGAGGCCAGCCTACATCATTCTTGGGCTTGCCAACCCACCAGCTGACCCAGATCAGAGCCATTTCACTCACCCACAAAATCCTGAGCTATTTTAAGTCACAATTTGGGGTGATTTGTTATGCAGCAAAAGCTAACTGATACATGTAGGGCTCAATCACCACTCTCTTCCCAGCAGGTCTCTGTTTAATCTCATATCTGATCAGCTTAAGAATTAAGGTGCAGAGGATAACTATTGTGTTTAACTGTCTGCTATCTCTTTCTCAAATGAATCTGTCTGCTTTGGAGAGCCACCTCCCACCACATGTGCTTGTGGCTTTAAGAAAGGCTGATTCTATTCCTAATTTTAGGACAGAGCAGCTTAACCTAGGCATAGCCAAATAATCAATGACCGAGAGATGGAGCCAGGTGATCACACTGGTAATCCTAGCTACTCAGGAAGCTGAGATCTGAGAACTGCAGTCTGAAGTCAGCCCAGGCAGAAATGTCTGTGAGACTCTTATCTCCATTTAGCCAGAAGTGGAGGTGTGGCTCAAGTGGGAGCAAAAAAGCAAAAGGGGTATGCCCTGTCCCTGAGTTCAAGCCTTAGTACCAGCACAAATAATGGGAGACAAAGAGATGGTGCTGGGTGCCAGTGGCTCATGTCTGTAATCCTAGCTCCTTGGGAAGCTGAAATTTGGAGGACCATAATTCAATGCTACCCCCAGTAGAAGTCCATCAGACCCCAATTGAGAAATAAGCAGCAAAATGCTAGGCTGGAATTATAGCTCAAGTGGTAGAGGGCCAGCCAAGCCATCAAGATAAGCAAGTGCAAGGATTGAGTTTAAACTCTAGTAATGGGGGTGGAGGGAGAGACATAGAGACAGGGTCAGGAATGCGCATGTGCCTGTAGCTGCTCCTGAGGACCAGTGGGCGTCTGTGGGGGCAACAGAGACACAGCTGCTCTGTCTCTGCCAGGATACCGAATGGAGCTGTGTGGCGACCTCTGTTTGCCCCCTTGGGAGACAGGGCTGTCTCAGGAGGAGAATGGTTGCAGGTCTAGGATCTAGCCATTCCTAAAACATTCTCCCTCCCTCCATTTTTTTTTTTGTACTGATACTGAGGCTTGAATTTACATCCTTGCACTCTCTTTTTTGCTCAAGGCTTGTGCTCTACCACTTGAGCCACAGACCCACTTCCGGCTTTTTGGTGGCTAACTGGAGATCAGAGTCTCGCAGACTTTTGTGTCCAGGCTGGCTTCGAACCTCAGCACTCAGATCTCAGCTTTCTGAGTAGCTAGGATGACAGGCATCCATCACCAGCACAGATCCCCCTCCCTGTACCTCTGAAATCTGTGCCTTGCAACCAAATAAAGCAGAGGGGAGAGAGGGGCTGGCTGGGGAAAGGGGGGGGAAGAGGCCTGGTCAAGTGAGGAGTGCTCAGAAGCCTTTTCCTGGCAAGGAGGCGGGAGGAGGAGGACTGGATGCCACCACGCAGATGGCGAAGCTTGGGCAGAGACCAAGGAAGCTGCAGGCTTGAGCAAGGGAGAGAGCGGAGTCTGGCAGCGCCTGGTCCAACCCTGGCCTCTTCCCATCTGGCTTGCCGCTGGTTGGTGGCTCTACTGACAGGGCTCTTTCCGAGTTCATCTCTTTCTGGCTGTTCCTTGGCAGAGACCAGGACTGGGATTTATCTCATCTTGAGACTCAAGAGGCTCGAAGTGACGTGTCCAAGGTTGCCCAGCAGGATGGTGGCAGAATAGGCCTTTCTCTGCCACCTGTGTGTCATCAACGCCCCAGTGTATCTAGAGACACAGGTTGGGTGGAGCGTCTGTCTCTGCTCAGCAGCTTTGGCAGGTCACCATGACCGTGGTGTCTCAGGCTCCTGACCCACGCATAGCAACCAGGGCACCAGGTATCCACAGATAGCCAACCCTGTGTGTGTGTGTGTGTGTGTGCGTGTGCTGGGACTTAGCTCAGGGCCTTGCTCTCTTGTGGATTACAGGAATGAGCCACCAGCACCTGGCAGATAATCCAGCTTTGACTTCCCATGGTCTGTGACCTGTGGACAATCCGCTGCCCCAGGGTTTGCCCAGGGCACAATGCCACAGTGTCTCTGTCATGTTCCCCTCTGCTCTCTCATTTTCCTCCCTTCACCCGGACTCTACCTAGCTTGGTGGTTTGGGTGCACCAGGTGCTTACATGCCATCTGGTACCTGGTCCTAGGGAAGAAAGTCCTCATCAGAGGATGGGGGACGGGCAGGCTGTGGCAGAGCTGTCCTCGAGCATGGTGTGGCTGAGGAGACGCCCTGCCCAAATACATCCAAGTGATCTTACCCCATCCCCACCTGACCCACGAGATCAAAGCCCCTCTGTTCCTGCCACCTCACTAAGAACATCAACATCGGGGGACAGCTTTAAAAATAATAAAGCAGCACTGCTGCTTTGGAGTTACCCAGACTCGGGTTCCAAGTCTAGCTGTGTTGTATAATTCAGGGCAAGTTCACTTTCCCACTCTGAATAGATAATCCCTCCCCAGAGAAGGTGTTGTGAGGACATGGAGATATCACAAACCGACAGACAATTAGACGTGAAAAACAGTGGCTAATTAATAGAGGACCTCACAATCTAAGCTTCTTAGTTTGGCACTACGGTCTGAGAGGATCCGGCTCAATCCATCATTACCTCAGTCCCTGCCTCCAAGAGTCTTACACAACAGCTCAAATCCCCTCTTCCGCTCCTTTCTTTTTGTTCTATCTACCTCCTTGGTCTAAGTGCAGCTCCACTCCCTCCATGGTGTGTGCTTGGGTCCTTCAAGACCCACCAGGAGCTCCTGTCCCTGAACATGGCCACTGGCTGGCCCTGACCCTCACAGCCATCCGCCCGTCTCCCCATTCACGCCCAACCTTTCCTTCCTTCCTGACATCTATTCACCATCCACCTGACACGTGACACCCTCTGACCTCCAAATCTCATTGTTTACATATTCACAGAATGGTTCGTCTATATGGGGTTCTGTACTGGCCCTGGGAGTAAGTTGGGGTCCCTTTTGGGGTCACCATCCTAGTAGGGGTGGTAGATGGGAGATCCATAACACTCAGTGTATTCAGCACCATAAACAGGACCAGGTGATACAGACTTAAAGATACCTTCCCTATTTTTATTTTTTTGTTGGTCGTGAAACTTGAACTCAGAGCCTGGGCACTGTCCCTGCCTGAGTTTTTTTTGTTCAAGGATAGCACTCTATTACTTAGAGCCACAACGCCACTTCCAACTTCCTTGGTGGTTAGTTGGAGATAAAAGTCTCACAGATTTTCCTGCTTGGGCTGGCTTCAAACAGTGATCCTCAGATCTCAGCCTCCCAAAGAGTTAGGTGATGCATACCTATAATCCTAGCACTTGGGAAGTAGAAAAGGAGAATGAAAAGCCTGAGCTATTCCAGGCACTAGCGGCTCATGCTTGTAATCCTAGCTAGATCCTGGATTTCAAGAGGCTGAAATGTAAAGATCAAAGTTGGAGTCCAGCCTGAACAGACAAATCTGAGAGACTCTCAAGTGGCAGCTGGGAATGAAAAAGCCAAGTGAGAGAATGAGGCCCTGAGTTCAAGCCCCAGTGTACGTACACACACACACACACACACACACACACACACACACACACACACACACACAGCCTGAGCTACACAGATCCTGTCTCAAACACTACAACAAACAAACAGAACTCTGTCTTTTTTAACAACTGAGATGCAATGCTTTATCATCTCAATGGCACAGTTATTGAGCATTGTTTGCAGTGTTGGAAAACCCAGGGTCTCTTGCAGGTGAGGTGAGCGCTCCTCCAGTGAGCTACACCCAGGCCTTCATGTTACTGTTTCAGTGGAAAACCACGTGGACTGCTCAGAGCTCTGCCTGTGCCGGGTGACAGCGCTGGTTGGCAGCGCTAGGCCGTCCCCTTGCCCACCGGGGTGCAGCAGCTCAGAAGCAGGCCTGGTGACTGTCAGCCCCGAGCAGGCGGCTCGGGGCAAGGGCTCCTGGGAGGGGAAGAATCCTGCCGAAACCACGGCAGCCTGCTCCTTTGCACGGATTGTGGCTTTGGGGATATTTGTATCTGCGGGTCGGGTCGGCAAGCCGGGTGGCACAGACTTCTGGAACATCTATGTGGGCCAGGAACAGAGTTCTGGGAGCAACTCATGTAGCCTCCTCTTGTAGTTCCGGGTAGGGCAAGGCAGGCTACCAGCCCTGCCCAGGGCTTTCCCTAAAATACAGGGAGGATGGGGGCCCCTGACGCCAGTTCTGGGGGGACAGATGAGGTCACATGACTGGAACCTCAG